TCTATTCGCGAAAGCAGCCGCCTGGGACGCGCCTCTGATGATGGACTGGCCATCCAAATATGGTTCACAACCAATCTTCGGAAACGAACAGAATTTTCGTGAATATCAACTCACCAGGTTGTTGAAAAATTTCGGCTCGAAAGACCAGCTCAATGGTCGTCTACTGCATGCTGGCTACGACAATTTTCGAGAGCATCACGAGCAGATGCAGAAACTACTCAAAAACCTCGGCATCGAAGTTACTTATCTCAACGGCCCACAACGAGACCACCACTGGAACAGCGGCTGGCTGCCAGACGTCGTCGAAGCACTTTTCAGTGAGAACTAATCAGACTCTGAGAATGAGAAGCTCTAACAAAACCGGCTTGGATCATTAGCCGCTGGGCGTTAGCCCACGGTTCTTGGTCGGGAACCGGACGCTAGGCTCTGTCCCGTAATTGCTATTTCTTCTTTCAGCGACACCTGACAACCTCCGTGAGTTTCTTATCACAGTTGCTCAAGGAGGAGCCAGATGTCACGACATAATTTGACAGATTCAGAATGGAATACAATTCAAAAGTACTTGCCCGTTGAGCGTCCGGCTAAGCCAGGTCGCCCTTGGCGTCCTCATCGGCAAGTGATCAACGGAATTCTTTTCGTCCTTCATACTGGAATTCCCTGGCAAGACTTACCAGCTGAGTTCGGCAAAGCAAAAACGGTTTACAATCGTTTTCGACGCTGGGTCGACTCGGGACTCTGGCAGCGAATCTACGAAGCCTTGATTGATCGAATCTTGAAAGCAGGTGACATTGACTTCGAGTTATGGTGTGTTGATGGGACTGTGATTCGTGCACATCGTGTTGCTGCCGGTGCACCAAAAGAAAACGAAACCACCGAGGAAAACGCGGAAAAACATGCCTTGGGACGTTCTCGCGGAGGGTATTCGACAAAGCTTCATTTCCTCACCGATGGTCAAGGCCATCCGCTGGGAGTGATCGCAACACCCGGTCAACGTAACGAAGCTCCAGAGTTTGAAAACGTCATGCAGGCATGCTTGATCAACACATTCCGAAAGGACAAACGACCAACTGCACTTGCAGGAGACAAAGGATACAGTTCAAGAGCGATTCGTGAATACATCCATAAGCTGGGCATTGAAGATGTGATCCCGACTCGCTCGAACGAAACAGCCCGCGAGAACTTCGACAAAGAAAAATACCGGTCTCGCAACATCGTGGAGCGAGCCATTGGCTGGATCAAAGAGTTTCGTCGAGTAGCCACTCGCTACGACAAAATCATTGAAAACTACTTGGCAATGGTACACATCGCAATCTCTCGAAAACTGCTAAAATCGATTTAAGGGACAGAGCCTAACGCGTTTCGGCTGATTATAATGTTAGAAGTCATGATTTCTGAAATCCCGGTTCAGTGGCAGAAAGACTCTCATTAAGGTCCAATGGTGGCTGAACATCATAGCCCTTCGTTGAACGACATCATGCCGCAGCTACTTCCCCTGACCTCAATTCTTCTGCTCTGCGTTTCACTCTCCACGAATCTCGCTGCCGAGAATTGGCCTCGCTTCCGTGGTCCAAATGGATCAGGCGTCAGCGACACAACCGGCATTCCCACCAACTGGAGCGATGAAGATTATCTGTGGAAAGCCGATCTCCCAGGGATTGGACATGGTTCCCCCGTTGTCTGGGGTGACAAACTCTTCGTCAATTGTGCCGCCGAAGATGGAACCACTCGCAGCATTCAATGTCGTTCAACAAGAACTGGTGAGCTCCTCTGGGAAAAATCGTTCACGACTGCGACGCACAAAACACACAAGTTCAACAGCTACGCAACAGCCACTCCTTGTGTTGATGAAGACTACGTTTACACAAGCTGGGGAACCCCTCAGGAACTCGTCATCATTTGCCTGACGCATGAGGGTGACGTCGTCTGGAAGGCAGACAATCTTGGGAAAGTAATCGGAGGTCATGGCTACGGCACCTCACCGATTTTGCATGGCGACTTGGTCATCATGGCCAACGACACTGAGAAGAAAAGTTCGCTCTTCGCACTCAATCGAAAGACTGGTGAGAAAGCCTGGGAAGTCCCCCGCCCCGGTGGCCGACTTAATTTCGCAACGCCGACAGTCTTCTCACGAGAAGATCAGTCCGACCTCATCATCTTTTCAGCCTGGCCCATTGGCATCACCGCGATTGATAGCGAATCGGGAAAACTCGTCTGGGAAATCGAAACGTATGACGTCAACAAAGGACAGCGAGCTGTCGCTTCTCCCATCGTCGTCGGTGATGCGGTCTTCGCAAATTGTGCCTTTACCAATGGACCCAAGCATCTGGTTGGGCTCAAGCCCGTGAACGAGTCTGCGGAAGAGGTCTTCCGCGTTGATCATAGTACGGTCCCGCATATTCCCTCGCTGTTAGCTTACGAGGGCCTGCTTTACGCCTGGGCTGATAAAGGGATCTGCACCTGTTACGAACTGGAGACCGGGAAGAAAGTCTGGCAGGAACGGATCGGCGGCAACTACTTCAGTTCCCCCATCTGCGTGAATGGCATCATCTACGGCATCGATGCCGACGGTCACTGCGTTGTCATCAAAGCGGGCCAAGAATTCGAAGAACTGGCCCGCATCGACCTCGGCGACCCCTGCCGCTCCACACCCGCCGTCGCCAACGGAAAAATGTTTATCCGCACATTTCGTCAGCTGATGGCAATTGGAGATGAATAACGGATTTCCGCTACAGGTCTTCAACTTGTATTCCATAGCCACCTCGTTCCCAAGGTCTCCCTTGGGAACGTACCCGCATGAAGCTCTGCTTCGTATCAATTCAACCAGACGCACAATTATGAGTACTAACAATCATCAACTATCAAAGCTCCCTTTTACAATAGGTCTCTTTTTACTCACCTTACTGCCATGCTTTAGTTTCGCAGCTGACGAACAAACAACAACTCACAAAATCAAAAACGTCCTGTTCATCATCTCTGATGACCTGCGAGCCAATGTGCTGGGATGCTACGGCGACCCTCTCTGCAAAACGCCGAATATCGACAAGCTGGCAAGTCAAGGAGTTGTTTTCGAGCGAGCCTATTGCCAGGGGACGGTCTGTGGACCTTCCCGTATCTCAATGATGTACAGTCAGTATCAAGGGAAAGGGGCCATCACCCTGGGGGAGCAGATGCGCAAAGCAGGTCGCTACTCGGCTCGGGTCGGGAAGATCTTTCATATGCGCGTCCCGGGTGACATCATCGCTGGCACCAACGGTCAGGACGTCCCGGAATCCTGGACCGAACGCTTCAATTCTCCCGGTTTAGAAGCTCACACCCCCGGCGATTATGCCTGCTTGAATCTCAATATCTTCACGACCGAACTCGAAGGTCGCCAATCGACCCGCATGCCGCACCGCATGTTTGTTTCCGTGAAATATGAAGGAGATGGTTCCGATCAGCCGGACCACAAGACCGCCACCAAAACAATTGAACTCCTGCAAAAACATCGGGACGAGTCGTTCTTCCTGGCTGCCGGATTCATTCGCCCGCATTACCCAATGGTCGCACCCGAGCAGTATTTTTCCCCTTATCCATTTCAGAAGATGAACCTGCCCGAGTTACGAGAAGGTGATCTGGAAGACATCCCCCCCATGGGTATCACCCGCAGTCGCTCAGCGATCAACGGCATCGACAAATTCCCGGACAATCAAAAACGAATGTGGTCCGCCTACTATGCGTCGGTCACATTCATGGATGAGCAGGTCGGCCGCGTGCTTGAAGAACTTGACCGCCTCGGTCTGCGCGACTCGACAGCGATCGTCTTCACCAGTGATCACGGTTATCACCTCGGTGACCACACCTTCTGGCAGAAAGCGAACCTGCACGAGGAAGTCATCCGCGTCCCTCTCATCATCTCCACCCCCGGCATCAAAGCCGCTCGCTCACAGTCGGTCGTCGAGTTAGTCGATCTCTTCCCCACACTCTGTGAACTGACCGAGCTCCCCATTCCCCAAGGTGCAGAAGGGACAAGTCTGGTTCCCGTTTTGAAAGATCCGTCTCAAACTGTGAAACAAGGAGCCCTCTCCTTGGTCCGCGGCGGCATCTCCTGGCGAACAGCAAGCTGGGCTTACATGCTCTACAAGGATGGCTCAGAAGAACTCTACAACATGGAAACCGACCCCGGACAATTCGACAACCTGGCCAAGGACAACAAGTACGAAAAGATTCGCAAAGAACATGCAGAGCAATTGCAGAGCATGATTAAAGAACGGAACCTGAAGTTTTAATGGGAACACCAGGAATTCCACCACAGAGGTCACGAGGAGACACAGAGATGTACTATCCCTGTGATCCTCTGTGTCCCCTGTGGTAAATTCGAATTGGTTGTACAAACGTACTTTATTTGTCTGCGAGCAGGACTATGAAACAAGCCCTCTACAGATACAAATTCCGCAGCGTTTGGGGATTGGTATCGATTCTGGGCTGTGTGGCGATTGGATTTTGTTTCTGTTTTCTCGCCTGGCAAAGAGAGGCTCCTATTCTACTTCTCTTTGCCTTTCTGGCTGTCGCTGCCGGCATCTCAACAAGCAGAGCCGTCTATCTGAATTACGAATGTGGCTGCGAAGTTGATGAAATCAAAATCCGCTGGTGGACCCGGCGTCCTCAAAATTCCAACGTGATTTACCTTAGCGAAATTGAATCAGCCAACTTCAACAAGGGTGACTCATCATGGATTCAGATCGTCACCAAAAATCAAGAACACTTCACCATCCCAGACGCCTGCATCGGAGATGGTAAAGAAATCTGGGAAGTTCTTTCAGCTATCGTGTCGAAGACAACTCATTCCGTTTAATCTAACACAACCTGCTTCGGAGCCTCATCGTGGAACTTGTTTTTGCCGGACTTCTCTTTCGTAATCCGAAAGCGATCGTGCAGAACCCCGGTGGCTGACTTGGCTTCGTAGGTCAGTTCATCATGTGTGATGTTGATGACCTGATAGAGCTGTGTTTCTTTGATGTGCTTGGCGAAGGGGTTTTGGCCTTTGGGGTATTCTTTCAAAGGATACATCTTCGGCCCACTGACAGAGACAACATAGATCGGGCCGCCGTTGTCGCTGGCGACTCGAAGGCCGGTTGCTTCGTTCTTAGTTTCGTGGCTGTGCGAATGCGTATGGTCATCGTGAGAGTGGTGTCCCAGGTGGGAGCGACCATAGCTGTGATCGTGACCTTGCAACACGAGATCGACTCCATATTTCTCGTAGAGTGGTTGCCAATGCTTGCGAATGTCTTCGTTGTCACGTCCTCGGCTGGTTGAATAAACCGGATGGTGATGTGTCACGACGGTCCACCGGTTTGGATTGTCTGCAAGAACTGATTCCAACCATTCGACTTGAGCTGCGCGGTCGCTGTTAGAATCAAGGCTGACTAAGCGAATCCCCTGCAAATCGATGTAATAGATATTTTCTGTCGCATGCTTCGGTCCATTGTCAGGAAATTCAAAGCGTTGAGGCCAGCGACGGGCGAGTCGCTTCGAACCTTTTCCGCCATCGTAATCGGGGTGAAATGGGTCGCGGTCGTACTCATGATTGCCAGGAGTCGCTACTTGAGGAACTGATCCCGCAATGAATCCCAACGAGTGGAACCATTCTGCCCATTCCTGATCATTGTTACCTCGATTGACGAGATCACCTGCATGCAGCATGAAGGTCATTCGCGGAGCATCTTTGAAAGACTCCCGAATCAGCCGCGACCAGTGACTTTTCACATCGTTCTGAGCATCACCGACGTAAACGAACTGCACTGGGGTCACTTCTTCTTTGAATTCAGCAGCTGTTCGGCATTGAAACCATTCTGACCAGGCGTAGTCTTTCGAGTTTTCGTCTTGCGACTTGGCATCCGTCTCGCTGAGCGGTTTGGTTCGTTTATTCCCAACCCGATAAACATAGATGGTTTCTGGCTTGAGGTTTTCGAAGGTCGCTGCGTGCATGTGCACTGTCCCTAGGTTTGTCTTCAACGGGGATGTCTCCGCAGTCAACCGTTGTATAGTTTTCACGAACTGCGAAGCTTCAGTCGCGACAGCGATTTCGGCCACTGCTGCGGGAGACTCCTTACTGCGCCAGGTCATAGAGATTGATGTCGCAGGATCTTTCTTCCAGGAAAGCAACACGCGATCAGGAACATCGCTGGCATAAACCAGAGTCGGTTCAATCACCATCCCCTGATAGTTGCCCGCTTGCGGCATCGCAACCGGTTCGTGAGCGATACCAAGCGTCGACAACGTGGGTGACATGAGTAGAGCGAGTAAGAAACGGTACTTTTGCAACATCGCGTTCTCTCTCAAAAACGTATCAGCGGGATCTCAAGCAGTGAATGGCGCAGGCTATGCCAAACATATTTGTTAAGCGTTAACCTTGCGCAAATTGTGAGCGATGACTCAAAGATTGTCGATGCAACGCTAGATCACTCTGCTGCTTCACTGACAGCATCTTCTGTGTCAAGTTCTGTAGAATCTTCTTCAGAGTTCTCGGATTCGCTTTCCGTTTCCTGCTTGACCAGTTCTTCCGCCATAGGAAGTTCAGAGAGCTTAGAGAGACCGAAGCTTTCTAAAAAAAGTTTCGTCGTCCCGTACAAATAGGGACGACCGAGAGAATCGTCTTCACCAACAATGCGGACAAGGCCTTTCTCCATCAGTTGCTTAATCATTTCAGCTGCCTGGACACCACGTACTGCTTCCACATCCGCACGGGTACAAGGTTGTCGGTAGGCAATGATCGAGAGAGTCTCCATCGCTGGAGGAGAGAGTTTCATGTATGGCTGTCGATCATGCACTCGATCAAGCCATTTTGCCAGATGCGGCAGCGTCAGCAGTTTGAATCCGGCAGCGACCTGTTCAATTCGAAATGCTGAATTCGAACTTTCATAATGGTCGTTGAGTCTCTCGATCAGAGATTGAGCTTCACCGACATCCGCCAGCGTTGCCATTTGTGTCAGCTTTTTGAGGGAAAGGGCCCGCTCAGCGACAAAGAGTGTCGCTTCCAACCGAGCCATTTTAGGTGAACGAACACCCGACTCTGCTGGGGTAATAAGAGGTTTATTATGAACCTGGCGGGAAAGCCGATTCCGCCACTGCCATCCAGTTGGAGACTGAGAATTCGAACGGGAACTCAATGTGTTCCCAAACAAAGGTCGTACGCGAACGAGGTGATTTAACATGACCTGTTCAGCCAGTTCATATTCTGGGCAAGCGATAACAACGATTTTTGATGTCAAAATCGAGAGGCGGTCATTCCATTATTTGAGCGATACTGCTCTTGCAGCCAGTTTTCGACCTGTCCAATCACTTTATTGACAGCCAGCAATGGGTCATTCTCTTCTGCTTCGAAGCGATGCATCACATGCGGGGAGGAGGCAGGTTGAAAGAGGCAAACAAACAGAAAGCTTCCTTCCTGTCCACCTCGTTCTAAGTGATACTTGATCCCGAGTTCGGCTAAGCGAGCAGAAGCTTGTGTCCAAGTCAGCATCTGTGCCGATGTTTCTGTTGTATTGGGATAATTTGAGTTCAGGTTGGGATTCGCAAATGGATTTGGTGGTATAGAAATATCCGCTGTGCGGACCTGGGGTGATGGGTTCGCGAAGTGATGCCCTGGATGGGCATTGTTGATTTCAACTGTCGTCCCATATTGCCCATTTAAGTTACGATCTTCGACACTCTTAGAAGTATTAGGCGATATTGTCCCAAATGGATTCGGATTGTTCGTTTGAGGAACTTGTGAAGTTGATCTGTTCCCTGCTGGCTGAAGTTGTCGCCTTTCACCCCAAGTAGGTGCATTGTTTGCTGAGTTACTATTAGAACCTTGAGGTTGAGTTCCCCACGTTGGGGCCTCTGTAGAATTTTGAGGAAATTCTCCCGGTGAACCAAGTTCTTGCCTGTTTTCAGACTGCTGCCCCCATGGATTCTGAGCATATGGATCACGAATTACGATATCATTGCTGGGAGAAGCGTTGAGGGGTGCGATCTGTGGCACTCCAAATATGGCCATGAATCCGACAGCGGTAATCGGTATCGAAAAGAGAAACGTCAGTAGTGTGCTGCCTAATTTGCCCATGTGCGTAACCTCCATGCGGTGCACGTGTGCTGCCATCCATCCATGTCATCCGGCAGTACACTCCCGTTTGGGACGGTGTTTTCAACGGTATCTGGTTGAACGATGCAACCTACTGGCATCACACCTGTGACAGGTTGGGAGTAACGGGGACAACTCCACTCGTTTGCGATCATTCGCAAATCGCCCTGTCAGCGATCGGATCGGCAGAATATGCCAGTAGTCCTTTTTAGAACAAGACCAATTTGAATCGATTTCGGGTCGGGATCTTCCTGCTGAATCAGTCCGTCTGAATTTCCCTTCAACTATACCGATGATTGAATCCACCCTTACAAACTGAACGAAGTTGGACAAAAAGCAGGCATGAAAGGAGAAACAGGCGCTGACCTGGCGGCACACCTTTGCCTCATGAGGAAAATTTGGGTAAGCTTGCATTCCACGTCGATATCTGCTCAATGATTTCAAGAGAGACTTTGAGAAAATCGACCACTTGAAACACACAAACACCTGTCTCATAATTACTTACAGCGACTTTAAACTCTCCTTCGCACAGACAGGTTTTTGAATCGATTACTGATTTTTTCAATTCACACAAACAATTTGGTATTGGAACACGCAGCGTGTCCTCCTGCTTGACCCTCAATTCGTTCTGTTGCCATCGCCAATTGCGGGCAACAATCGGAATGACACACCTCGCGGAATGCGATGGGATGGAAGGGGTCACCCTGTTCAAAGAAGGCACAAAACAATTGTGTCAATCTCGTCAACAGGTACTGGCAAACCTCAAGAATGACGACGGCCTGGAATTAGGCGAAAACTCAGTAGCTGCAATGCACCGGAGTAACAAGGTACGGAATACCGCTCTCCCCTGTGACAAGCAAACTAATAGAAGATCACAACAGCATCCTTTTGATATCAGTCTCTGGCAATGGAATTTTGTCACTCAAGAAACATTTCGAAATGATCTTCTCCTGACTACCGCCAATCTCCTTTCTTCTCGTCATCATGGAGTTGGAGTGCACTCTGTTCGTTCGCAAGCACGAAGAGGGTACAATGAAAAAAGAAATGCTGATCAATGTTCTCCAACCAGAGGAGAGCCGCATCGCCATCGTTGAAGATGGTGTGTTAGAAGAACTGTACGTTGACCGTACCAGCATCGAGAACTACGCAGGCAATATCTACAAGGGAAAAGTCGTCAACATCGAACCAAGCATCCAGGCGGTGTTTGTTGACTTTGGTGTCGGACGCAATGGGTTTCTCCACGTCAGCGATGTTGAGTTCCAATATTACAAGCACTTGTTAAGTGAAAGAGAACGCAACGACGCAGAGAATAATCGCAACTCCAAACTCAACGAACGCTCTGCCCGCAACAAGCCGCCCATTCAGGATATCTTCCAACGGGGCAGCGAAGTTCTTGTTCAGGTCATCAAAGAAGGGATCGGGAACAAAGGTCCGACTCTCTCTACTTACATCAGTATCCCAGGACGTTACCTGGTACTGATGCCAGGCCTGAACCGGTTAGGGGTCAGTCGAAAGATCCCTGACGAAGATGTCCGCCGCAACCTTCGCAAGACATTGAGAAATCTCGATCCACCAGAAGGCCTGGGATTCATCATTCGAACAGCTGGTGTTGATCGGACTGAGAAAGACCTGCAACGTGATATGAATTATCTGTTGCGGTTGTGGAAAACCATCGTCCGTCGTGTGGAAAAACAACCCGCCCCCATCGACATCTACGAAGAGAATGACATTGTCATCCGCACGATTCGAGATATCTACAACGCCGATATCGACTGCATCTGGATCGATGAAGAGGATTCCTACAAGAAGGCACGGGAGTTCATGAAAGTCGTCATGCCGAAGCATGTCGATTCGGTCAAACTCTTTGACGGCAAAGAACCTCTCTTCCACACTTACAAAATCGAAGACGAGATCGACCGTATTCAAAGTCGGCACGTTCCATTGCCTGGAGGTGCTTCGCTCGTCATCGATCAAACAGAAGCTCTCGTTGCCATTGACGTGAACAGCGGAAGCTATCGGGCGGACAATGACCCAGAGAAGAGCGCGTATTTAGTCAATATGCGAGCTGCTGAAGAAATCGCCCGCCAGATTCGCTTGCGAGATCTGGGTGGAGTGATCGTGAATGACTTTATTGACATGCGTGAAGAACGACATCGCCGCGGAGTCGAACGGAAACTCCGTGAATGCGTTGAAAGAGACCGTGCCAGAACCAAAGTCCTCCGTATCAGTCAGTTCGGCCTGATTGAAATGACCCGGCAACGAATTCGACCTTCTTTACGTCGCAATATTTACGAAGACTGCCCTTGTTGCAATGGAACCGGTCAGGTCAAAACAGCTGAGAGTATGGCAATCGAAGTCATGCGGGCGTTGATGACTGCCTCAGCACATGCTGATGTCGAAGAAGTCAAAGTTGAATTGCATCAGCAAGTCGCTGATTATCTGATCAACAAAAAGCGTCGTGAGATGACTGACCTCGAAGAGGAGTACGGAGTGACTGTTCACGTGAATACAGCGATCAACGTTGCACCGTCACATCTGCACGTTCGCTGTTTTAATGACAATGGAGCCCCCGTCAAAGGAGCGGAAATTCGACCCTGAATGAGCTGAATTCTTTCACAGATGACTCTTTGCCTGATTATGAATTTCGATCTCTCAAGTGAAGCTGTCATCTTTTCACAACCATGGGAGGCAAGTCGATGGGTAGAAAGGTTCTGGCGCTTGTCGCTGGATTGGTCGCCGGAGGTGTTGCCGTATTCCTGGTTGAGTCGGTTTCCAGTCTCTTGCACCCAATCCCGGAAGGTCTTGATACTAAAGACATCGATCAAATGAAAGAGTTTGTTCAAGGACTCCCAGCAAGTGCTTTTGCCATGGTTCTCCTAGCACACGCGTTAGGTGCATTCTGTGCCGGATCGGTGAGCAGTTGGGTTGCCGGATTAAAGTGGAAAGCAGGAGCAATTGCTCTGGGTCTCCTTTTCACAATCGCTGGAATTGCCAACCTGGTGATGATTCCACATCCACTTTGGTTCGGAATCATCGATACCCTGATTTATCTTCCAGCTGCACTGGCTGGTGCCTCAATCATTCGGCAACTTCAGCAAGCTGAAGAAGATCACCTACATGATTGATCTCATGTCGAATCAATACGGTCATAAGTGTGGCTCAAACGAGTGGACTGTCTAAGTCATAAAGGAGGGGCGATCGGTTTGAGATAACATTACTCTCATCTCTAAACTCTCAACGCTCAACGCTCAACGCTCAACGAACTCTATTCGGAATCAATTGATATGGACCTGAACAATCAAAAAATTCTCGTCACTGGTGGTTCACAGGGAATCGGACGTGGTGCAGTACTTGAACTGGCGCGTGGCGGAGCGGATGTCGCCATTAACTATCGGTCCAATCTGGCTGAAGCGGAGAGTATTGCAGAGGAGATTCGCTCTCTTGGATCTCAGGCACTCCTTGTTCAGGGGGACGTTTCCGATGAGTCTTCCGTCAATGGCATTGTCCAGACAATCATTGATGAATGGGGTGAGATAAATGGTCTGGTCTCCAACGCTGCCTTCAGCGAGCGAGAATTAATGATCGATGCCGACATGGATGGCTTCCGCAAAACGATTGACGTCAGCATGTGGGGTGCGTTCTATGCTGTCCGCACCGTTGCCAAACGTCTTGTCGAACAAGGTCATGGAGGGGCCATTACTGTTGTCAGTTCTCCGCATGCAAAAATTCCGATCCCAACGGCCATGGCATACAACATGGCCAAAGCTGCCATCGATCACATGGCGAAAACCGCTGCCATTGAATTGGCGAAACATCGTATTCGAGTCAATCTGGTGCACCCCGGCTGGATTGACACACCTGGTGAGAGAAAATTCTTCACCGAAGAGCAACTTCAAGCAGGAGCTGCAAATATCCCCTGGAAACGCTTAGGACAACCAGAAGAAATTGGTCGCCTCATTCGTTTCATGATGAGTAGCGACTGTGATTACATGACCGGGAGCACTGTTCTTATGGATGGAGGAATTAGTCTTCCCTGGTGGTCAAATCGTGAAGAAGGAAAGCAGTAGTCACTTGCTTTGACATGTGACATTCATTCATAACATCAGTAACTTCTTGTATGAATGAATGAGAGTATGTCTCATTGTTTAATCAGTTTCAGTAGCGTTTTTCGGTCTATGAATTGACGCAAGTCAGTGGTCAACTAGAATCGATGCTTACTGTACCGTCTTAAAACATCAGTCATTAATAATACGTGAGTCAATTCGTTCATTCAGGAGATTACTGCAGTGCAGGTAGAAATCACGTGTCGGCATGGAGAGATCAGCGAAGATTTTCGGAATTATATTTCGCGGAAGTCCGAAAAACTGCTCCACTACTTCGAACGTGTCACTGCCATTCAGGTGACTCTCGATTATGAAGGTGATCGAGTCAGAGTCGAAATGCTCGTTGATGCCGAACATAAACACGATTTTGTGACTCATCAGGAAATGCCTGCCGATGATGTTGGAGCTTGCTTCGAACAGGTTCTCAACAAAATGGAACAGCAAATTCGTAAATACAAAGAGAAGCTAACGGACCACAGAAGAGATAAACCTCTAAATGAAGTAGCAGCCAACCCTGCCGAACTGGAAGATGAAGCAGAATCTTAATTCTGCTAAGATGACTTTTTCGTGTTCACGTACCAACTTCGTTTAACAATTTGCTACCCTTGTACGATCTCTATTTAACCGAGACGTCAATTCTTTTTTAGTTCTAGTAGGAATGCGACAGATGAAACTCACTGAGTTCGTCGTTCCAGAAGCGATTATTCCAGACCTCAAAGCTGATTCCAAAGAGTCTGCGATCCGTCAAATGGTAGCCAGCCTCAAAACGGCAAATAAAATCCGTGAGGCAGATGAAGAAGCAATTGTCTCTGCCATTCTCAAGCGTGAAGAACTCGGCTCAACTGGAATCGGACGAGGAGTTGCTGTTCCTCATACGAAACACCCCTCGGTTGAATCAATCATTTCGACCGTCGCTTTATGCCACGACGGATTAGACTTTGAAAGTCTCGACGGGGAAGACGTCTTCATTCTATTCCTGCTGATCTCACCGCCAGACCGTCCAGGTGATCATCTGCGTGGCTTGGAAACAATCACTCGCTACCTGAAAAAAGACGACTTCTGTAGTTTTCTCAAGCAAGCAACGACTCAGGAACAAGTCATTGATTTGTTGCAGGAAGCTGATGACAACCTCGTCTAATTCATGATCTAAAACTTATTTTACGCGTTTCAATCTGCCGATTCAGTTTCTCTCTCTTTTTGAATCAGGAAGAGAGACTGGAGTTTAGGGTATGCCTCTTGATTCGTTGTCATTCGATTCGATCTGTTGATCGGTAAACTCTTCATGTCTGAGAAAGGTCCATTCCGTCGGGTTGTTCGGCTTCAAATTGAGCAGGGCTTGCACATCCGGGCTTGTTCGAATGTTGTTGCAATTGTCGAAGGATTTACAGGATCCATCTCGATCGCTGCCGGTGAAAAAAAAGCTGATGCGACCTCAATGTTTGACCTGCTGATGTTAGCAGCACTCCCAGGCACAGATCTCATCTTGGAAGCGACTGGGGAAGGCTCTGAAGAGATCCTTGATCGACTCGAAACTCTTCTCTCACAGCCATCGAGTGACTTAACGTAACCTGTCATCATCGAAAAAACTCTCTCTTAACTTCACAAAGCGAATGCTCTGTACCTGATAGAATTTTTCTCAAGGCATCCGTTATTACCATAATTTGTCTGGTATTCGATTCTCTGCTGAATGATGATAAAGAGATCAACCAACTTTGATCTTTGTGGTCATGCTTCAGTAATCAGTTTTATCTCTCAAGGGCTAATATATGGCTGAACCTCTTCCTAAAGACATTCCTCCTACTCGCAGTGGGCAAGTAACACACTTCACTCCTTTGCCAGGGAATCCACAACCTGTGGAAGAGAGTAAAAAAGGAGAATTGTTTATCGAACTTGGGGGCCAAAGCTACCCTGTTCACCATGCCAGTATGCGACCGAAAAATCACCGCCGCCTGGGAAGTACGAACACCAACATTTTTTACATGAATGGTATGATGACCGATGGTCAGGCACACCTGGATGCTGCCAGGCATCTCGCAACAATTGCCAACCAGGATGTCCGAGGGATCCTGTGTGAAACAATGGGCTTTGCTGTGGATTTAGCTCAATCAGCTCTCGACTGGGTACGCCCTGTCGGTCGCGGTGCTCAGGTCGAACTCCCTGATGTTATGGGAGGGTTTAGTGTCAACGATATCACTCGCAGCATAAAAAACCTCAGTGTGAACTTGAAAAGTGAATATCTCGTGATGAAGTACGCATCGGCTTTGCTCGTCGGTAATCCAGCATCACAAGCACTCTTCAAGGTCTTGTGGGAAATCTCCAAGAAGCCCCAAAAATCAATTCTGGTCTGTCACTCTCAGGGAAATTTAATCACAGCAAATTCCCTGTGGGTCTTAAAGCAACTCCGTAAACCAGAACAGATGGGGAATATTACCGTTTTAGGACTCGCTTCGCCCAACCCATCCTGGCCTCCGAGCAGGCATCAGGAGTTTGAATTGAAACTCTTTCGAGACAAAGAAGATCCCGTTACGTTACTCAGTCTGCCATCATTAGGCCGCAAGCCAACTTTAACACCCAATTTTCAGAATCAAACAGGAATGGATTCACATGGAGTCCACTTGTACCTCTCACATCCTAAGTTTCAACATGCTCTCTACAGCCTGATCAAAAACGGCTAACTGGCACAACAATGAGCGACTCTGTTGAATTTCAGGGCAATTCTTAGAGTCCAAATTGTTGAAATAGCTTGGAAATATCATCTTTCTTTCAACATTTACTCACTTTTTGATGTGATGTAGAGGAAATCAGCTGGCGAAATGGTCGATGAAGGTCTAGTATTGGATGAGCAAGGGCACAAAAGATTCTTTTTTTATTGTTTTGCTTTGGTTGAACGAATCACTTTTTTGTGATGGGACCGCTGCTATTCAGGCCGAATGGACCGGTTTCCACCAAGAAGCAACCTCTGAATCCTGTAGTTTCAGACATCGTTCATGCGCTGTCGTACTTCCAGAGTGTGCAATGAGAGCATTAAATGCTTCAGCCTCCACTCATGGGCCGCCTACTTGTGCTGGACTGAGACATGACAATGTCAATCTATTAGTAATTTTTTAAATGTCTGGACTTACATTTGCTGAAAGTTTGGATTGAGAATTGGAATCAGTTGACCAATTCGACTCTTTTCTGCCGACAATGATCGGCCCTGACGTTCTCACCGTCAGTGATCGCACATTCGCGATCAAATTTAAGGAAATTGTTGTGACGAACATTTTTGTAGGAAATCTCTCATACGATGCGACAGATTCTGATCTGAGAGAGGCCTTTGGCCGTTTCGGTCATGTGGCAAGCGTACAAGTCATTACGGACCGCAACTCCGGCAAGCCTCGCGGCTTTGGGTTTGTAAGAATGCCGAATCTGGATGATGCTGACGAAGCAATTGCCCGGATGAACGGTCAAGACCTGTGCGGCAGACGCGTCTCTGTTTCGGAAGCAAATAACGACAGGAGCGATGATAGAGCACCTCAACGGGAATCCGACGTACCAAACATTTTTGAATTGATCTAACATCGAAACATCCGACATATACAGTCGCTCAGAGAACCATCCCCAACTGTATTGACTATTTCTGCTAAAAAAGTCACAGTTTCAGGAT